GTGAAGGTAATAAAACAAAAAAAAAATTAGAATCTGATCAGTACTTACCGAGATAAGTGCCAAGAAGTTTGTAGAAAATGATGTGGTGGCGGCAACATCGACGAATTCCACATATGCGTATTATATTATTTTGTTTTAGTTGTTTTTTTCTTTTCCAATTTTTTTCTATTCCTACTAACATTTGGGGCCTGAGAGACCAATACTGTATATAATTGATATATATATACTCACTGTATTGAACACAATAACCGCACTAAAGTTATTATCATATTATTGTTTACTACTGTTGTTTATTACAATAAACATGCACAAATATTGTATAATACTAATGTTCTATCATATATTTACATATTTACAATCACTGGACATGGTTTTAGAACTGCTGGAGCTTGTGGAACTCCTTGAAACAAGGCACCATGCACAGAGGCACCTTACATTCCTCACACATAAACCGAGTGTCTTTGCGTCTTTGTTGCCGTCGTTTTGTTTGTGCACAGACAATGCATCTCTTCTGAGCAAATTTCTTTTGAGTTGAAGGAAGCTGTATTATGAAATGATCACCTTCTCTTCTCAAACGCTTGGGTATATTGTGATGAATTCGAGGACCATGTTGTATTGCAGGTGTTGTTACCTGGTACTTCATTATGAGTTGTCTGACAACAGACAAACAAATTCACCATCGGTGGTCCTTTTTGTCGAAAAAACCCCCAAATCCCTTTTTTTTCCCACCCTAATTTAAATTAAATTTGTTTTAGGGGCATTTTTTTTCCTTAAAATTTTGGAACTTTGCAATTAACCCTTTGGGGGGCCGGCCCAAAATTGGTTACAAAGGGCAAAAAATTTTAAAAAAATTTTTTTTTTAAAATTTTTAAAAAGGCTTTTTTTTAAAAAAAAACAAAAAAAATTAGCTACAGAAAAAAAAAAAAAAAAAAAAAAAAATTTTAAAAAAAATAAAAATAAAAAAAAAATTTTTTTTTTTTTTTTTTTTAAAAAAAAATTTTTTAAAAAAATAAAAAAAAAAAAAAAAAAAAAATTTTAAAACCAAAAAATTTTTTTTTTTTTTTTTAAAAAAATTTTTTTTAAAAAAAAATAAAAAAAAAAAATAAAAAAAAAAATTTTTTAAAAAAAAAAAAAAAAAAAAAAATAAAAAAAAAAATTTTTAAAAAAAAAAAAAAAAAAAAAAAAAAAAAAAAATTTTTTTAAAATTTTTTAAAAAAAACTTAAAATTTTAAAAAAAAAAAAATTTTAAAAAAAAAAAAAAAAATTTTTTAAAATTTTTATTTTTTTTTAAAAAAAAAAAAAAAAATTTTTTAAATTTTAAATTTTTTAAATTTTTAATAAAAAAATTTTTTTTAAAAACAAAAAAAAAAAAATTTTTTTTTTTTTTTAAAAAAAAAAAAAAAAAAAATTTTTTTTTTAAAAAAAAATTTAACAAAAAAAATTTTTAAAAAATTTAATTTTTTAAAAATAAAGAAAAAAAAAAAAAAAAAAAAAAAAAAATTTAAAAATTTTTTAAAAAAAAAAAAAAAAAATTTTTTAATAAAATAAAAAAAAAAAAAAAAAAAATTTTTTTAAAAAATAATTTTTTTTAATTAAAAAAAAATTTGGTTTTTAAATGTTTATCCCCCCTTTATCCCAAAATTAAAAAAGGACTCAATGGTTTAAAAAATTTTAAAAAAACCCCGGCCCTTCCGGTAAATTTAACCTTAATACTTAAATTTGGCAAAATAAAGTGTAATTAAAAGTTCTTAAAATAAAAGTAATTCCAAATTTTGTTTGGAAATAAAAATTTCTAATTTTTACCTTTTTCTTACCGGGTTTTGAAAAAAAAGTCAAGATAAATTTTACTTTTTAATTTCACTAAAATTAAAATGGTTGGGGGGTTTACTTTTAATTATGTTTTTAAAACTAATGTTATTTTTGGGAAAAAAGCAAAAAATTTTGAAAAAATCTTTTTCCACCTTGTTTCTTGACTGTGGTGAAAAATCGTATTTCCAGGGGTTACAAAAATACTTTTATTTTCCCTCAAAAATTTCCATAATGGTGGTCAAAAAAATTAAAAAATTTTTGGGGGTTCCAAGGGGGGGGGTAGAATTCCACTTTGCGAGTCAAAAAGGGTGGGGGGGGGAAAAAATTTGGGGTTTTGCTGCCAATCCCCGAAGGTTTGTGGTGGTACTGGACACAAGGTGGTTGTACAGGTGGTTGTGGGGGTGGTGGGTGAGCTCCGCTTTGTCCCTTTTAAGCGAGTCGCAGCGTGGGTTCCCGCGTGGACAGCGAGTCCGCATGGCGGTGCCCTACCACCCCACCCCAAAAACCATCCATGATGTCGGGGCCCCTCCATCCAAGTGTAGCCCCTTTATCCTCCTATCATACCCAAAAAGGGTTTTAGGGGCCCCGGGATGTAATCCCGGGTGTACCCTTTCCCCCGGGAAAAGCAAAGGGGACATACCCCGGGCATGCGGCGGCGAAAAATACCGAGCTTCCTGGTGAATTGTTTCTCACTTCACTCTCGATGATCGTCGAGCGCAATAAAATACAATCCACGTGAATCATGTCATTATGAAATAGAGGGCCCGGCCACGGGAAAAAAATTTGTTTTCTTTAGTTTAGGAACACCCCACGGTGGTCCGGTGCCCACCCAGGGTAGAAGGGCGAGGATTTGGGGTTTTTTGATATTATCTATCCTGGTCATTATTTTCGGTCCTAACTATCAAAGCCTTAAAAATTTCTTCATTTTTACTTCCACATTTCTAACTATCAGCAGGGGAAAATCCAAAATTTTATTAAAGCTATTCAGACCCCTTTTAAAATCTACCCCCCACAATTCTTCACCAAAATTTTTTTTTTTACCCCACCCCCGCCCCAACCCATTTCCCCCATATTACCATACCTTTTAGCTAAAAATTTGATGGGGCTAAATTTTCAGATCTACTTTGGGGAACCCCGCCGTTTTTTAGATTTGGGACGGGCCCAAAAATTAAACTCACCCCCCAACCCCTCACTCTATTTAAACTTCCGGATCAAAAATGTCCTCCGTGAATTCGAAATTTTTTGGTTGTTGGAAATTTTTGTGTGTTTTATTTCCCCCCTGTCTTTATGAGATTGTAAAAAAACACCCTAAACCCGACCCTTGTGAAACTGTTGTGAGTTCCCCTTTTTTCCCATTTATGTGCTGTCTGTGCTGCCCATTTTTCACCCGCCCCGTCCCGGAAAAATTTATCCCCCTATCATGTACCTTAATTTTTCCCCACTCTGATGTGGGACCCGCAAAAGCCTTTCTGAAGTCCATTCACAAAATCATTTAATTCCATGTTTTTACCTCCTGAAATACCCCCTTTGTGAAAAAAGTGAAATTGTAGGAGGAACGCCCTTTGTAAAACCCGGGAGATTGTTGATTAATTTTTTGCTTTTCAAGGTGGTACAAACTGCCCTTTGGGAATATTGATTCCATAAATTTTCCCACTAGGAGGTTAGGGTTTTGGTCCTAGTTTGAAGTAAGGACTGTCACCTGTTTTTTTATATTCCGTAGTAAATGGCCAAGGCAGGTTAAATTCCCCATGTAAATAATAATCGATCGTAATATTATGGTTAGGAGTAAATTTAAAAGAAAACAAAAGGCACAAGTGTTCGCAAAAAATAAAAGAATCCCCTTTGGTTATATCAAGAAGCCTAAAAAATAGGAGTCCCCGGTTGTTCTTCGATCTAATATCCTTGGTTAGACATTTAGATTATGTCACAGTTTTTTGGGACCGTATTATGAATGGTATAAAAAACTCTGGAAAACAGGGGATGCAAAGTTGATGCAAATGATTTAGAAATCTTCCCTATGAGGATAGACGAGGGCCCCGAATCTGCACTCTAGAAAGAGTAGAAAAAAGGGGGGGATATGATTAAGGTGTATAAATGGAAGACGGGAATTAAGGGGATGTAAATAACTTTCTGAAAATATCTAGCCTAGACAGGACTCGGCAATGGTTTTAAGTTGGAAAAATTCAGATTCAGGAAGGATATAGGAAAGCACTGGTTTGGTAATAATTGTGGATGAGTGGAACAAACTCCCAAATACAGTTATTGAGGCTAAAACGTTAGTTAGATAAATACATGAGTGGGTGTGGGTGGGTGCGAGTTGGACCTGACTAGCTTGTGCTACTAGGCCAGTCGTGTTCCTTAACCCTTTGAGGGTTTTGGCCGTACTAGTACGGCTTACGACCCAGGGTTTTTGACGTACTTTACGCCTAAATTCTAGTGCCCTCAAATCTAGTGGGAGAAAGCTGGTAGGCCTACATACGAAAGAAAGGGTCTGTGGTCAGTGTGCACAGTATAAAAAAAATCCTGCAGCACACAGTGCATAATGAGAAAAAAAACTTTTGTCGTTTTTTTGGAATAAAACGGCGACTTTGCACTGTATTTTCGTATGGTATTTATATTTTTGTATTCTAGTTTTCTTGGTCTCATTTTATAGAATGGAAGACATATAACAGAAATTGAGATGATTTTGACTGGTTTTACAATGAAAAGTACCTTGAAATTGAGCTCAAAGTAGCAGAAATGTTCGATTTTTACCAAAGTTCAAAAGTAAACAAATCATGCCAAGCGTCCAATACACGTCAACTGGCGAGTAATATTCTTTTGCAAGTGCGCCAATATTATTTATACCATTTTTTACACTAATTCAGTAGTTTGCATAACAGTAGATCTATTTTTTGTGAGAATTAAAAATTCAAAGTGGAAAGCAAAGAATGTAAGAGGGGCCTTGAGACGTGACTAATGAACAAAGGAAATGTCATTTTAGTGCCAGGAATATCTTTCTTGTTTATTCTGGACCCTATTCGGAAATGGGCAATTTATCCTATGGCATTTAGAAAAAAACACTTTATTTCCATAAAAAAAAATTCTATTCAAAATATTCAGGGCACTGAGCGAGAGAACGTATATATACGTTTGCAGTTTATGGGTTAAGACTTGAAAGGATATTACATTTAAAATAATTTCTTCAACAGGTAATGATTGTGATGCACAACTGGGACAGGTTAATAGTATTACCAGTGGTAAGTATTTTCACCACAGGTGGGTAATTTATTCTTTGCATATCTTCTTTCAACGTGCCAGCCGTATCCCGAGGCGGGGTGGCCCAAAAGAAAAAACTTTCTCCTTTCTCCTTTTAAATTTAGTAATATATACAGAAGGGGTTACTAGCCCCTTGCTCCCGGCATTTTAGTCGCCTCATACGACACGCATGGCTTACAGAGGAAGAATTCTGTTCCACTTCCCCATGGAGATAAGAGGAAATAAACAAGAACAAAAATTAGAAAGAAAATAGAAGAAAACCCAGAGGGGTGTGTGTATATATATGCTTGCACATGTATGTGTAGTGTGACCTAAGTGTAAGTAGAAGTAGCAAGACGTACCTGAAATCTTACATATTTATGAGACAGACAAGACACCAGCAGTCCTACCATCATGTAACACAATTACAGGCTTTCGGTTTACTCACTTGGCAGGATGGTAGTACCTCCCTGGGCGGTTGCTGTCTACCAACCTACTACCTATTTGCATATAAAAATTAAATGTACAGGTCTCCCTCCACATTTGCGAGTTCCACTTTCACAAGTTTTGAACATTGGCTTCGAACATTGAACTAAGCTGCGTATTCTTGGCGAGTGCTTACTAATGACATATAAAGCTCTAGTATAACCTCTGGACTTCTGTTGCTTGCACTTCTTGATATGAACCCCAGTAATCTGTTTGCCTTATTATGCATGCTTAGGCATTGCTGTCTTGGTTTAAGGTTGCTGCTTACCATAACCCCCAAGTCCTTTTTGCAATCCACATGGCTAAGTTCTATGTTATTTAACTTAATAAATGCTAGGGTTATGGACACTTCCAAGCTTCAGAACCTTGCATTTATCTACATTGAACTGCATCTGCCACTTTTCTGACCAGGAATTGAGTTTGTCTAAAGCCTCCTGAAGTTCTGTGACATCTGTTTGAATAAATTACCCTACCTATCTTCGTGTCATCGGTGAATTTGCTCATAACATTAGTAATTCCCTCTTCGAGGTCATTGATATATATTATAAACGACAATGGGCCCAAGACCGATCCCTGTGGAACACCACTTGTTACAGATCCCCACTCGGATTTGACCCCATTTAAGCGTGCACACTGCTTCCTATTGGTGAGCATGACTCGATCCATGACAGCACTTTTTCCCAATGCCATGAGCTGCCACTTTAGTCTCTGGTGTGGTACTCTATCAAAAGCCTTGTTAAAATCTAAATAAACTATCTTTCTTTATCGTGATCAACATCCTGAACCTTTACTGAAGGTTAATAAATTAGACAGGAACGGCCCTTCGTGAATCCATGCCGAGTATCATTAATCAAATTATGCTTATCCACATGGCTTCTTATATCAGCTATAATTGACTCCAGAAATTTGCCTACAATTGAGGCAAGACTTATTGGGCGGTAATTTGACGGTAATGACTTGTCCCCTGCTTTATTTTAAAATAGGAGTTAAATTAGCCATCTTCCACATATCAGACACTGCACTTGTTTGAAGAGATAAATTGAAAAATATTAGTTAATGGTTTACAGAGTTCCATTTTGCATTCCTTAAGAACCCTTCAAAAAAAAGCTCATCAGGACCCAGCGATTTATTTTGTTTCAGTTTGTCTTTGTTTCATAACCATTTTGCCAGTGACTGATATTACATAATTTATCTTCAGGCCCACTATAAAAATTAATTACTTGGATATTGTTAGTGTCTTCCTGTGTAAAAACTGAAAGAAAATTATTTTAAATTGAGCACATTTCGTTCTCCTTGCGAGTAGATGCCAAAGGTTATTTTTAACCTTTTGAGGGTCGAGAGGCGCTCTCCTAAAGTTGTTCTCAGGGTCGAAATTTTTTCTTGTGAAATGATAGAGAATCTTTTTCCAATCATAATGACGACAAGTGTGAAATTTGATGGGAAACTTACGGAATTATGCTCTCGCGAAGTTAGTGGTCTCGACGATGTTTATGCATCGGCAATTTTGCCCACTTTGAGCCCTATTTTCAGCCAATTCCTATGTACCAGTCGACAAAAATCATAACTATTTCGCTAGAACTCCACTTTTTGTATCGAATGAGTACAAGATGCCACCCATTTACGGATTTCAACTATCCAATAAAGTGGTCAGAAAGTTTGTGTGTTTGTGTTTTCTTGACTAAGTTGCTGAAAGTTGAAATTCACGAAGTGTGAGGCTCGCTAAACTCTGGGATCCACTGTACGAGCAATTGAGTTAGGGGCTTGGTCATAGAATGAATTAACCCTTTGACTGTTCCGGCCGTATGTGTTCTGAATAATTCTAGTGGCTTTAAAGCAAGCAGGAGAAAGCTGGTAGGCCCACGTGCAAGAGAATGGGTCTGTGTGGTCAGTGTGCACTGTATAAAAAAAAATTCTGCATCATGCAGTGCACGAGGGGAAAAAAAAAAACCGACCCTGGTTTTTTGGATTAAAATGCTGATTTTTGAGGTATTTTTGTATATTATGGTTGTATTCTCATTTTCTTGGTCTCGTTCGATAGACTGGGAAACATATTACAGAAAGATGATTTTGATTAGTTTCACAATGAAAATGACCTTTAAATTGAGCTCAAAGCAGAAATGTTCGATTTTTACGAATGTTAGAGTAACCAAATCGCACCACATGTCCAATGTGTGTCAACTGGGGAGTCTAATATTCTTTCACTAGTGCACTGATATACCATTTTTACAATGCAGTAGTCTGCATACCAGTTAGTATTCAATTTTTTGTGATGAATAAAAAATCAAAATAGACAGCAGGAGTAATACAAGAGGGGCCTGGAGACTTGACTAATGAACAGAGGATATGTTTTTAGGGCCAAGAATGTAGACATTTATTCTGGACCCTATTTTGAAAGTGGAATCTTTAATTTGTGTGAAATTGGCCAAATTGCCAATTTCTGACCACTTTATTGGGTAGTTGAAATCGGTAAATGGGGGGTTTCTTGCACTCGGTTGAGAGAAAAAATGGAGTTGTAAAGAAATAGCTACGAGTTTGGTCGACTGGAACAAAGGAATTGGCCAAAAATAGGGCTCAGTTGGCGAAATCGCCGATGCGTATATATGAGATCACCGATCTGGGAGCGTAACTCCATAAGTTTTCGATCGATTTTAGTGCTTTTGGTGTCATTACCATCGGGAAAAGATTCTCCATCATTTCATAAGAATTTTTTATTTTCAAAAAAATTTGCACAGTGCAAGTTTCAGAAATGGGCTTGCAACAATCAAAGGGTTAAACTCTTAAGTCAAGGTACCACTGTAGTACTTCAGTGCATCTATTGATCTTATCTCTGGTCTTGGGGTCAAAATGAAAAGGCATTGAGATGCCTCCTTTGATGAATTTCTGATAAAAAATGAATGTTCAGGTACTGTGGTACCTTGAATTACGAACTTCATTTGTTTCAGACCCTCCAAAAATACACTTGCATAATTGTTCGAGTTGAGAGCTGTTCGAAACTCGAGGTACCACTAACTTTTTGTTTCTTTCTTGTAGTTCATAGATATTTCTTTTCACCAAGTTTACATGTGTAGTTATAATGGCATTTCAAAACCGATTATTGAGGGTAGTTATAGATATCTTAGGCTATTTTATGTGGGGGATGTTATTTGTCACTAAACTATTTTTCTTTCTAGATGCAGTAAGTGGAATGATGAGTAAAAGACCAGAAGAATTTCTGATCAGGTAAGCAGACATTAGTTTGCTGCAAATTTGACAGTGCTGTATTAACCTTTTTAATTTGAGATAAATTGATTTCAGAAATAGTAAAATAATTTCTTGCCTAGTTTTTTTTTTTTATGATTGTTATTACAGGTCTCCCTCAACTTTCGCGGACTTCACACATTCACAAATTCCCAGCTGCCAAATCATATTTTTCCTGCCGCCCATGCATCCCTACTACCCTCCCTCCGACCCCCGCAACTGGCAGCCAGCCCACCTGCCTAGACCCGTCATGACATGCAGTTACTCCATATAATCACCCCCATTCATCTGTCATCAGTAACTGCATGGCTATCATTATTTGGCTAACTGTTCATTAATAAAACTGCAGTATAAAGTCATCCCATTCATGACTGCATGTTGGAATGGCCATTTGGACAGGTATTGCAGTGACATTTGTTGACTCCTGAGCATGGCAAAGAATCGCATTTCTGCCACTGCTAATGGTGGTGGTGAGATTAATATAATAGTAATTAATAATAAATAGAATTGAAGGAAATTGTACAAAAATGAGGATTGAAGTAGTGGTGGAGGCAGTGGTTGAGGCAGTGAGTCAGTGTGGCTTTATGCTAGAGTGAGCATTAGCCTCCACGCTCATCCAAACGTTTCACAATACAGTGGACCCTCTCCTAACAATGGCATCGCATAACGTTAAATCCACCTAGCAAAACATTTTAACGCAAAAATTTGCCTCTCCTAGCGCTAAAAAACTCGCTCGACGCGTTTCGTCAGAGACGCATCCACGTGCGGCCTGAGCCAGCCTCGCTTGTTCCGCGGGTGGCAGTGTTTACAAGCCAGCCTCCGCGGCCACATCCAAGCATACAGTCGGAACATTTTGTATTATCGCAACGTTTTTTGGTGATTTCACCTGCAAAATAAGTGATAGAAGATGTTGAGAGACTGTTATTGGTGTGGATAAATGGAAAACAGATAGCAGGAGATAGCATCTCTCAAGCAATCATATGTGAAAAGGGTAGGAAGTTGCATGAGGATTTAATTAGAAAAATACCTGCAACTAGTGGTGATGTGAGTGAATTTAAGGCCAGCAAAGGTTGGTTTGAGAGATTTAAGAAGTGTAGTGGCATACATAGTGTAATAAGGCATGGTGAGGCTGCCAGTTCGGACCACAAAGCAGCTGAAAAATTATTTTATTATCACACTGGCCGATTCCCACCAAGGCAGGGTGGCCCGAAAAAGAAAAACTTTCACCATCATTCACTCCATCACTGTCTTGCCAGAAGGGTGCTTTACACTACAGTTT